CTAACCTGTTTATCATGCAGCCTCTAAACAACACTGAGACAAACTGCAAACAAACAGTTGTTGTGTTTGCTGATGGTTGTTGAACTGATAGAAGTCACTTTAAAAATACTGATCCATTCATGTTCACTCCTGGCAGAGGCTGAAGTACTGCAGCTGCAGTTTACGACCTGCAGTCATGCTGCTGCTGTGCAAATAAAAACAGTGGCCCACTTTAATCCCAGACTGTTTCTCACAGTTTTGCCTTTTCATCTCATTTTGTGACATCCTCTGGTGATTAATACACGAACAGGACTGCGTTTCACGTGTTGCTGTTGACGTTTGAAGGTGTGATGAAATAACTCCCCTTAAAATCAAAAGTATGTCTGCTCTGTAAATGTAAGGAGTGGAAAGTACAGATATTCCTTTGATAACGTAGGGAGTAAAAGTAAAACTTTGTCAGGAAAAAAATACTCGAGTAAAGTACAGATACCTGAAATTTCTACTTAAGCACAGTAACAAAGTATTTGTTACGCCCCCTGCTGGATAGAAGGCGGAACTGAAAAATCTGGGAAGGACTGGAGACACTAGAGAGAGTCAGCACAGAAAAGGCTAAAGAACAAAGTTAAGGTGGGAGGAGCAATTTACACAGGAAGGCAGCTTCTTAATAATAATATAACTTAATAATAATATGGCTATACGTGCATCTGTGTTTCATGCCTTACATTTCTCTCTCCTCCCTTTGCAAAGCACACAGTTGCCCTGTGCCAGTGCTGTTGATGATAGCAACACTGACCCTGATCTCTCCTTTTTGTGTTCGGTGTGTCACACATGCATTGTCAGACACCTGTTTGTGTGTTTGAGCATGTGCATGTGACCGAGCACTGAAGCTTCATAAGAGTTTTGCTGCCTTCGCTGTTCAGTGTGAATATGTGTCACACTGTCTGAGGGTCCTTCTGTAACTCCAGTAACAGACACATGGATGGAGTCATGTTCATTTATTATCTGATAGATGCAGAAACAGCTGCTTCCACACATGCTGTCATGAGAGAGCTGAGGCTGTCCTCACCACTGCTGGGTGTACTGCAGAGACTGGAAGAGAAATGGATAATAGATCAATGTTTGTAATAGATGGGCCGTTACTAAGACGACTGATCCTGATAAACGTAATGAAAATGAGTCATTCCAGTCTACAATCACAGGCCGAGCCTTCTCACAGGAAGTCAATGATACCTACTGAGAACCTGTTGGGAATCTTGGGGTTGTGATGGTCATCCATCTTCAGGTCACCTTCACAGTGATGCGGACTCCCGGCTACAAACAGCACATGGAAATGTTA